CACTGTGCCACACTTCTTCTCCCCACCTCTGCGATGGACTCCCCCAGTCCCCAATCCACACAGGAGACGCAATGGAGTAGAGAAATTCGCTCTACACTTCAATCTGCCAACAATCATCTTCAGTCACTACCATGGAGCCTCCCAGGATACACAGCAGTTCCAGAGCCCCCGTCCCATTGTGCTATGGAGCCCCATGTCGCCTTCCAGCTGTACCCTTACCTCCCCCACTGTGCCCCTTCTGCTGAATCAGGACCCTCATGTTCCACACTCCGCGCTATGGAGATCTCCTCTTCTGCACTTCCTTCACTGCGCCGTGCAGCTCCTATCCCAGCCTTCACTCAGCCAGCACCCCCGCTTTCCCTTGCTCTAGCGAACCCTCTGCTACTCCCTTGCCCTTGGCTTCTCCATTGCGCTAATCCCCTTAGATCCCAGATACACGGGGAAAATAGAGATGGGGTGACAGCAGGAAACGGGGTAGCGGCGCACCAAGTAGGGAGCAGCAGAGAACCATCAACAACGGGAAGGATGGAGAGGAGAGATACCAGGCAAAGGAGAGAAAGGGGGAAGCCACTGGCGGAGGGAGGGAAACCACCAAGGAATAGGATAGGTGAACCATCCGCGAGCAGGTGAGGGCCCCGTAGAATGAGCAGGGGGAGCTTACTGGGAAACAGGGATGCAGAAGCACCAGGGGGCAGGAGGGGAAGTAACCGGGCCCCCCACAAAAAACAGAGAGGTGGCAGCCCCAGGAAATGCCAGGAGGAGGAGAGCAAGGAACGTGGAAGGAGAATCAGCAGGGAGGTCACAAGGGGATGCCATAGGTTGCGGGGAAGGAAGGTCCCAGGGGAGATGGAGAGCTCCCTCGGAGAGCGCTACCAGCCAGGGGAGGAGAAGACTAAAGGAATAGAAATAGTGCAAAAATTAAGTGAAGAGAGAGGAGCAGGAAAGGGGGAGGAAGGGAGAGAACAAAGGGAAGTGAGAGGAGGAGACAGTGAAGGAAAACGCCTGGGAAAGCAGAGAGACTGCAACTCTCTGGAGTATGGAGAGAGCGAAGACCAGGGCTGCCCAGAGGATTCAGGAGGCCTGGGGCAAAGCAATTTTGGGGGCCCTTTCCATAAAAAAAGTTGCAATACTATAGAATACTATATTCTTGTGGGGGCCCCTGTGAAGCCCGGGGCCTGGGGCAAATTGCCCCACTTGCCCCCCCCCCCGCAGCCCTGGCGAAGACACCGTGTTTGCACGCCGGAAGGGGAGCGTGCACACAGGCATTGAGGATGAAACTGGGAAGCCGATTGAAGGGGCCAGGAGGCGTGGAGGGGGAAGGGAGGCCCAGAAAGAAGAATACATTTTTTTATGTGAAAACGACAAAAGGAAGAGATTTCTGAAGGGTTTTGTGTTGATTTTGTTTTTTGACCGTTTGCAAAAAGTCTGGTGTTGGGGAAACCAAACCCATCTGTGCTCTGTGCCAATAACCCCAAAGAACAAGCAGCAACAGAGACCCGAAAGGGAGGGTGCAAGGTGGAGACGTGTGTAGGCGTGACCATTCCCGGGGCAGTGTTTGTAGGGTAGAATTCACCAACCCCAGTAGCATCGCCGGCCCAAGCACGAAATACTTGCGTAAGGACCCGATTCTGCCATGGTTCTCCCGTTGCTTCCAGGAGTACGGTACTCTGGAGGGTGGTAGCCCCAGGCTCTCGGTGGGACTATGGAAAGGCTGGGATAGTGACAGGAGAAGGCCGGGGTTGTGGTCATGGCGAGCTGCAGTTAGCGATGCACTAAGTGGGAAATAGTGAGTCTTGCCGATTAAACGCTAAAAGGATTTGTTGGCTTGACCTAGTTGGGATTGTAAAGGATCCTTGACTGGCATGCGGGGAGGTCCTGGGGCTGGTGCTTTGTTTACCTGGCAAACTAGGGACAGGTGCCGGGCGTGGTGGGTCCTTTTCTGGGGCCAGAGAGGAGCAGGAGAACGGCCCCAGTGTGAGCTGGGAGCACTGCTGAGTGCTTTCCGGCTCCTCTAGGGAAGGTGCTACGGCAGGTGATTCCTTTTAACGCTAATTAGGTGTGAGGGCTGGAGAGTTGCCTTACTCTGCTCTACATAAGAGGGAAGCTACAACGGCCTATTTTAGGGACCTCCTGAGACAGTGGGGAGGGAAGTTTGGAAACCCTGAGTCCAGGGAGGCTTTGCTCGCTAACGGGCTGGGGGGACATAGTGATGGTGCAAGTGAGATTGGGGACCTATCTGGAGCCTATATTCCGGCCTCGTGTTGGGCAGCGCCCTGGCAGCGAGATGCTGGTGCCAAGGGAAACCTCTTTGTGTTCGGGATCTTCTGAATGTTCCTTCACATTGAGCAGCATCCTGGCACAAGTTGTAGGGAAGCTTTTGGTTTCAAGCTGGTTTGTGGGGCTCCCTGCATCATATAGCTCCAATGGGATTATAGGGAGAGGGGCTTGAGAGTCAGCATCTCCCTGCCCCACCTGCTCCCGACGGACCTTCTCCCTGGCTCCCCTAGTGAGTCCGCTCCAAGCTCCCTAGCCTGGCGCTGAGCTGTGAGTCACACACCTAGCCTCGTCAGGACAGTAACTGCCCCGCGCTGTACGGGTCCCAACTCCCATCAGTCCCCTCGCGCCTTCGCTGCACCACTACACCAAGGGGGCCTGCGGAGCCCCCTAGCTCCCGACCAGGACCATCTCCAGAGCTGTGAAACTTCTCATCCCGATAGCTGCCCCGGCGCCTCCCCTCCAGACACTCCTCGCCCTGCCGCCGGTCCCAGCACGCCTCCTGCAGCGCCCCTGGCACCAAGAGTTTACCCCCGTGCCACAAGTGACTGTCTTTCCCCTTCCCGTGCCCGCACAGCCACCAGGAGATACTGACTGCCCATCCCCCGCTCGCTCCTCCGTGCTCCACCCGGGACTTCCCGGGCCTCCCACTGGACCACCACTGAGCACATACACAGCTCCCCACTCTGTCCCCACTGACCCTTCCAGCCGCCACCGCTAGCCTCCCAGCCCTCCCCACTGCTCCATCAGAAACCTCCCTCTGTGCCGCATTACTTCACCCCTCGCCGGTCACCGACCCCCCTCACCTTTGGTATCCCACATACCCCCTCCCCTCCTGCCCGGGACCCCGAGCACCACCAGACCCCAGAGTCCCCTCACCGATCCCGCCCAGCTCCTTCACCCCGGGGCGGCCTGGTTTGTACTTTGGTTTCACTGCGGGAGGGGAGCAGCGAGGGTGGGGGCTGGGGATCTGGTAATTTCATAGTGACAGCAGACATCTCCCGTCCCGATTATTCAGCACAAAGCCTGAGCAACAGACAAAGGAGGGAAGCGCTCGCACCGAGCTGCGTTTTGTAAAACATCACCGCAGAAATAAATCTCCTCTGAGATCTGCGCCTCTCCCAATCCCTTAAATCGATTAACAGATTATCCCCTTTAATCAAGTCATCGGGAAGGATCTGCCACTAGGGGGCTTCTCGCGACTACACAATATCCCCTAATTAACGCCTGGAGAAGTCGCTGGCAGTTTCCATCCTTCTCAGCTAGGAAGAGGATAAGCGAGTAGTTTCCTGGCCAATAAAAGCCGGTATCATTTATGGGGGCTTCTGAAGAAAATGTTTAAGTGAGAGCCGGATAATCCAATGGAGAAATCTTAATTGGGTGCCTCAGGGAGAAAAACAGGACGTGTTTCAAATAAAATGAGTTCTATTGGGAATCGCCATCACAGCTGGGCTTGCTGCTCACATTTAAGAGGATCAGAAATGTGGCTCGGGTGTGAGAAGCCCTCCCGTTACGCGGACCCCTGCCCCAGCCATCCCCAACCCGGCTGCCCTCCCTTCGCGAAGGGTGGCTGAGACACCTCAGCAAAAAAATGCAACTGTGGCGGTTTAAGGGCAAAATTAACAAGCAGAAAGTTGGTCTCAGCCTCCCACTGGCAGGCGCTGGCTGAAGCCTCAGCCTGCACTGCAGGTGTGTGCGCTGCTGAAGAAAGGTTAATGTAAAATCTGTTGAACAGCCAGCCACACGGAGCCCCCTTCGGGCGCTTTCCGCCATCTCTGCTCTCACAGCAGGGGACTCTGCTGGATCAGAGACACTTTGGAAATCCTGCAGGCTCGAAGAGGGCAGGGTGTTAGGGAAGCAGGAGGGGGGCCTTTCTCCATGTCTCTGTGCTGATGGAATCAGCCTTGAGCCGGCTGTCTGGGATGTAATCCCCTTCTCTGGTAATTAAAAAAGTCAGCATTACAAGGAAAACGGTGTGCAGTAAAATGTAATCAATTCTGTGGGAGCTTAACCATCTGTTAAAGGTTAAATCCATGCATGGAGGCTGATGTCAGGATATTCATACGGAGGATTTGGCTTTCGGTGTGTTTCGGGCTCTTTAATCTACCGCAAGGATGAAGCAAACATCTGTGGGAAAATATTACTGGCCCCATATTCATCTGCTCGGGGCTAGAGATGCTATTGCCCAGTAACCAGTAACATAAACTTCCTCTCTCTGGGCGGAGAGGCGAAGGCCAGTCAATGGGTCCCCGCGGGGGTGGGCCCTAGTGGGCGGTGTGATCAGATTTAATGGGAGTTGTGTTCTTTCCGTTCAAACAGGTTTTTTCTTTGCAATAAAGTCGCTGGGGCGGAATCCGTCTCCGTCAGGCAGTTCCGTGCCACGCTGGGAAGATACCTGACCTTTTCCTGTATGGAAATGATTGCAATCTCCCGGGTATTAGCATGAACACATCGCGCTCTCTCCTCCCTCGCTGCCTCTCTCCCGCCCCTCGCCCTCGTCAGCAAAGGGTTAACCATTCCGGCATAATTACAGCTCCGGCTTTCGACTCCTCTGTCCACCAATGCGGTGCTGAAATGAGAGGCAGGTCCTCCCTCCGCTGCTCCGTCTGTGAGCCCGAAAGTAGTTGGAAGTCCAAGTGTTGGACAAACACAAGTGGGGGAGCGGCAAAGCAGCAGCAGCGGCGGCGCTCTCAGGCCCGGGCTAGCCACCGCACCCTTCGCCTCCGATGCCTTCTGCCCGGGGAGACAGCGCAAGCTCCCGCTGGGTGGCACGGGTGGTCTCGGGTGAGCCTTATCCCTGGAGGCGCTGCCGGAGCAGGGGCCCCGGCGCCATGGGGACTGGAGTCTGGGGCAGCGGCTGGACTTGGAGCTGGCAGATACTGTTGCTCCTGGTGACTTCTTGCCTGGAGCCGGCGGCTGGCCAGCTGCGCTATTCTGTCCCCGAGGAGCTGGAGCACGGCGCCTTCGTGGCTAACATCGCCGAGGACCTGGGTCTGGACGTGTCCAAACTGTCGACGCGGCGGTTCCGCATAGTGTCCCGGGCCGGCACCAAGCAGCACCTGGAGGTGAACTTGGAGAACGGGATCCTCTTCGTCAACGAGAAGATCGACCGCGAGGAGGTGTGCGAGGCCGGCGGGGCCTGCCTGCTGCACCTGCAGCTGGTGATCGAGAGCCCGCTGGCGCTGTACCGCGTGGAGGTGGAGGTGCTGGACATCAACGACAACGCGCCCAGCTTCCCCTGGCCGGAGTACGTGCTGGAGGTGACCGAGTCGGCGCTGCCCGGCGCCCGCTTCCCGCTGGAGAGCGCGCAAGACCCGGACGTGGGCACCAACTCCCTGCGCACCTACCAGCTCAGCCCCAACGGCTTCTTCTCGCTCGAGGTGCAGACCCGCAGCGACGGCAGCAAGTTCGCCGAGCTGGTGCTGGAGCGAGCCCTGGACCGCGAGCAGCAGCGCAGCCACCGCATGGTGCTCACTGCCCTGGACGGCGGCCTCCCGGAGCGGTCGGGCACGGCCGGAATCCTCGTCACCGTGCTGGACGCCAACGACAACGTGCCGGCCTTCGACCAGCCCTCCTACGGGGTGAGCCTGCCCGAGGACGCGCCCCCAGGCACGCTGGTCATCAAGCTCAACGCCACGGACCTGGACGAGGGCACGAACGGCGAGATCGAGTACTCCTTCAGCGGCCACGCGCCGCCCCGGGTGCGCCAGCTCTTCAGCGTGGAGCCGCGCAGCGGCCAGGTGCGCCTGGCCGGCCCGCTAGACTACGAGCGCGCGCGCCTGCACGAGCTCTACGTGCAGGCCAAGGACCGCGGCCCCTCGGCGGTGGCCGTGCACTGCCGGGTGCTGGTGCACCTGCTCGACGTCAACGACAATGCGCCTGAGGTGAGCCTCACCTCGGTCTCCACGCCCGTGCTGGAGGATGCGCCGCCGGGCACCGTGATCGCCGTGATCAGCGTGCTGGACCGGGACTCCGGAGACAACGGGCAGGTGAGCTGCGAGATCCCCCGCAACGTGCCCTTCCAGCTCCAGGCTGCCTTCCGCAACTACTACACGCTGGTCACCACCGCGGCGCTGGACCGCGAGGCCGTGCCTGAGTACAACGTCAGCATCACGGCGCGGGACATGGGCTCGCCTGCGCTGCTCACCAGGAAGACCCTGACCGTTCAGGTGTCCGACATCAACGACAACGCGCCCCGCTTCCTGCAGCCCTCCTACAGCGTCTATGTGCTGGAGAACAACGCCCCGGGCGCCTCCATCTGCTCGGTCAGCGCCCTGGACCCCGACTGCCGGCAGAACGCCTACCTGTCCTACTCTATTGCCGAGGGGCACATCCAGGGCATGCCCGTGGCCACCTACGTCTCCATCAACTCGGACAGCGGGCACATGTACGCGCTGCGCTCGCTAGACTACGAGCAGATCCGCAACTTCCAGGTGCAGGTGCAGGCGCAGGACGCGGGCTTCCCCCCGCTCAGCAGCAATGTCACCGTCAACGTCTTCGTCCTGGACCAGAACGACAACGTGCCGGTCATCGTCTCGCCCGTGCCCCGCAACGGCTCGCTTGCCACAGATTTGGTGCCCCGCTCGGCCGACCCCGGCTACCTGGTGGGGAAGGTGTCTGCCGTAGACGCCGACTCCGGGCAGAATTCCCGGCTCTCCTACCAGATCCTGCAAGCCACTGACCCCAGCCTCTTCAGCGTGGCCCTGTACACTGGCGAGCTCCGCACCATCCGAGCCTTCCTGGACAAAGATGCCACCAGGCACCGCTTGGTCATCCAGGTGCGGGACAACGGGCAGCCGCCGCTCTCCGCCTCGGTGTCCCTGCTGCTGTCCGTGGTGGAGAGCGTGCCCGAGACCCTGTCCGATTTCAACGAGCTCTCCCTGAACCCTGAGCTCTCCTCCTCCACGCTCACCCTCTACCTCATCGTCTCCTTGGGGTCCGTGTCTTTCACCTTTCTGGTGGCCATCATCATCCTCACGGCCATCAAGTGCCACAAGGACCGGCACTCCCTGCATGGCTACGGCTGCTCCCTCCCCGCCTGCTGCTGCGTGAAGGCCAGGGCTTCGGCCGACGTCTTCAAAAATTCCAACATCAAACCCCAGCTCTCCTCGGGCAACAAAGTGCCCACCAACTGCCTGGACGTGGCGGGCAGCGGCCCTCCGGGCTACTGCTACAAAGTCTGCCTGACCCCGGAGTCCGCCAAGAGCGACTTCATGTTCCTAAAGCCCTACAGCCCGAGTCCCCTGAGGAACAACGAGAAAGCCGCCGAGAATTTAACAGGGCCGGGAAGGAAGCCCCGACCGGCCAATAACACCGTCAGTGCCGCCAGCCAGGTAACCCTGCGCTGCAGTACAGCCGGTGGGACTCAGTGAGACACACCAGGAGAGAGTGCCATGAAATACCCCTTCAAGGGTTAGCCCGGCTTTCCCCCTTCTTCTCTCCCTCCCCCGCCCCCTTGGAAACAAATCTGAGCTGGGAGAAATCCTTTCATTCGGGCACAACTTTTTAAAGATAATTACCCTACCCTTTGATCAAGTGGATGTGTCGGAATTAGTACCCCTCAGACAGCAGGGAATTCTCCAGCACGCTCCTTATCCATTTCAGTTAATGATTTGGGGGACGTCAGGCTCATTTTAAATTAGCGAAAGTAGCAGAACGCGCTCAGAAGCAGTAGCCCAGCTCCTATTAAGACTGAAATAGGGAGCGTGCCCAGGAAAGCCAAGGGCTGTCTCAGGAGATAACTGTCCCCTTTTGAGGGCTCTCGCTTAGCCTCCGATTGCGGCTGCACAACCCCGTAGCCTTCCCTCAAGAGAGCCAGACATGACACGGGGCAGCAAAGCAAGCTGTGCTTTAAGCCTCTTGAAATTTCACTCTCTATTCTGTATTTCCCCATAGCACATATTACAGGCGGCACGAATTACTCAGGCGCTCTAGTGGCCCTTGGGGATTTTCAGCTCCTTTGTCTCAATAAGAAATTCAGGCAGATACACCCGGCTCAAGCAGATTCAGATGCAGCCGTTGCCCAATGCTGCATCAGTACCGCACCCAGTGCTTTCCTACTAGTGACGATCCTTTTCGGGTTTTATTTTTATTATTTATAAATCGCCCTAAGTGGCTTTGTTGGAGGATGGGGGAGGTTTCATGTGGTGATTAAAATCCTTCCCAAACGAGCGAAGGGAGCGAAGGGTGTCATGCTGCAGTATTGCCTCTCCAGTCCTCACAGTTGAGACCTGGTGTCTTGTTTGGTTCTTTCAGAGGCATCTCCTTGTCTTTGTAACTGAGATACTTCGCCATTCCCCCATTTCCTAAGGACACCACTTTTCTCCTGGCATCTATTAAAATTAATGCTGAAATATTGTCATTGAAGGGGAAGAGCACTTTGCAGAAGACAAATGCCTGACATTTCGGTGAACTGATCACTAGATGGTGCAAAAGCCTAGACTCTGCGCTCGGAGAGAAAAAAAGATTTAAAGAGATTTTTATGTCAACATTTGTTAGGTATTTAAATGAATAACGTCTAATTTTTTAGATGAAATACTCTTTCAATAACGCGATTACCGGGGATGGATGGGGATGAGAAGTCTAATCCACTTACAAACATTTTACTTTTAACAAAATATCCTTTTTTAAAATAAGCACAAGACATTCTGTAGACAGGTTTTCTTTTTACATTTTCCCTTGGATCATTGGACACAGTTGTCTAATATGTTAATGCGATTTTCCTCCAGTCAGTTACAAACTCCCTCTAGTGACATTCCGCACACAGCTGATTTCCACACCTCTCCGCCTCAGGCTGGTGTAGGGAGATACCAGACTAAACCACCTCAATCGAAACTAAATAATAATAATAAAAAAGGTTTACAAATATCAAGAGAAAAAAATCTGTAATGAAAGAATGGATCCAGATTTACAGACAGGGGTTGGGAATTAAGGTGTGAAAACTGGGGTAGTGGGGAAGAGGGAGAAGAAAGGAGGCGTGATCTAGTGGGGGGAGACAAGTCTGGAAGACACTGCTTTCGGCTCTGTCAGAGATTTCCTGTGTCTCTGTGCCTCAGTTTCACCTCTGTAAAATGGAAATAGTATTACCTCACAGAGGTGCAGTGAGGCTTAATTCTTGGATGTCTGAGGGGCGCTTTGAGAGCTGATGGATGGCTCTGTAAAGGGGCAAAGCAAGTTGTTATCAAACCTGTGTTACCAAGTGCCAGGAGAACACTAGAGGGCTCAGTTATGTCCGAACAGTTACTTTGTTTACTACCACGGGCTAGTTGGCTTCAGAGGCGCATTGCTTTCAGAATACAGTAATTGGCCTGATTCCTATCTCACTCCCGCCGCTGTAACTCCACTGGCTTCTTTCTCTTGGCTGTTTTCTGGAACGAGGGCGGAGGGAGATATGTCCTGAGCTCACCGGATCTCATCCCTAATACATTTCCCACTCCTCATGCTGCCTCCCAAGGCAGGGAAGCCTGGAATTTGGATGCCCACTAATCTGCCTTTTCAGTTACAACCACCTCTAAGACATTTAATTTTTTACCCCTAAATCCTCAGAAATGGCTTCCCTGATTCGGACTCGCTTTTGAACTCACACCTGGCCAATTATCAGGATCAACTGCACCCAGTTTGCGCGGGCCATGGCCTGAGAAATCATTGACAAGACAGGAACTGGAGCTTTCCAACGTCTGACCTAAATGACAACGAGGCAGGCATATTAAATAAAACTGTGCAACAATAGTGAAATAATTGGGGATTTTTAATGCAAGCCAAATCGAATACAGCTTCCATTTCACAATCCAGCGAGTCTGACACCGAGATTAAAAAATCACTCTGGCTAAACCCAAGTTGGAGTCTGACCGAGAAAACAGAATACAAATGAGCCTCTTTGAAAGCCCTGTTTGCTTCTCCGTTCATGTTCGTATCTGATGTTCCATCACCTCCTATTCTTTGAAGGAGACGGATTAGAAGAACAGGCAGATTATTTAGACCGGCAACATATTTACAGAGAGCAACTGAAGTGGGTTAGAGTGCGGGCCAGAGAGGGTTTTCAATGGATTTCTGGAAGCAGACGGCTTGTTGCTTCACTGGTGAAACATAAAAGATAAGACAGCTCCCTTTGTTAGTTGTTCTAAACGCAGAAATCCTACAAGCAAGCAGCAGCTTTGTTCCTGCGCTTTGGCAGGGACAGTAATTAAATATTGTAATCTGAATGAGATCCGAAAGCAGACCAATAACTGGATGCGGAGTGACAGCTTTAGCTTTCAGTGGGAAAGGTAAATATACCTCCCCCGGAACAAGGAGAATAGGGCAGCATTGCCCTGCTATTTGCCCTCTGTCTCTGCCTTGCACTTTTCACTCCTCGCGTAGCGTCAGGTGTATGGGTTCTTGGGGGTGATTTTTTTATCAGAGCTGGAGATTCTGTCGAGTGATCAGTTTCACATAACCCTATATACCTAGAAGGCATCTCACTTCTCTTGCTCTAGCGATCATTTCCCACCTATTTCGCAGTGTAGCTAATTCACCCCCTAACCACATGGAACCTGGGCCTTCAGTGGTTTCTCAATTTGCCCGAAAAGCAGGCAGAGTTCATCTAGCTCAGACCAACCCAACCTAGCCATAGAGCCAAAAGGAGCTAACCTAATTAATTAAATTCCCTTTGCTGTGAGCATTAAGCACTCAAAGCTTCTTTGGGGGGAGGTGATGGGTATGGCAAACCCACGCGCCAGAAAGATGGAAATTCCATGTGTCTAATGTTGTATATTTCCTGTGTTTTACAGATCAAACAGCCCAATACGGACTGGCTGCCTACAAAAACCCAGCGATCAGCCCTGAAAAGGTACCAGAACCTAATACTTAGAGGGTATGGGGTAAAGGGGGAAGGACGGTTATTGCTGACCCGAATACGAGTGGAGTCTTCATGGCGTCTTTGTTGTCTTGATGGTTCTCTTTAGTTCGCAGAGTCTGGAGGACGTAGGAGGAGTCCGCAGAGGAGTCCAGAAAGAGCATGACAGGCTGCGTCCCCTGGTCACTCCAGTCTCTGGTTAGTGTTGGGTAGTGCAGAACATCACACGCCTAAAGTCTAACCGGGCGGCTCCCAAACTGGCAGGGGAAACCGAACCAGGCTGCCAGTCTAAGGCCCCATCTGAGCCTTTCATTCCCCACCAGCGCTGTATGTGCTTTATCCCGCATCGGAGCCCGGGCTGCTCCAAACCCTAGCCTCGCCCGAGGCCGGTGCACCGCCAGGAATTGGCGGGGGGAGCGGTGGTGGGAGCACTGGGATGTTGGAAACGCATCATGGTAGTGAGAGGAATCTTCCTATGTACCAGTCACAACAGCTATAGGCACCAGAACTAGTGATGTAGAGCGGTAGTCCAGCGCCAGGCCCCTTGAACGGATTCATTTCTTCCTACCTCAGGCATTTTAAAGGCCGATTAAGGCGCGGCTGGATTGGGAGGGAGGGTGTATCTGGCTGACTGATCCGCTCTGGTCCCCAGAAGCTTTCCCCGGTGCTAGCTAACGTTTGCTTTCTCCAGAATTCCAGAAAGCATCCGGGGCCTCCAACAGCATTTGGACCCCCAGGTACGGCCCCCTGTACCCGCCGCACATCCCGTACCAGCACAACGTTTATATACCAGGGACCCCACCCATGCTGGCAAACAAGGAGGGGCCCCGCTGCCTGGATCCGGAGGACAAGAACAGCTTCTCCACTTTTGGGAAGAGGAAGAAAATGGCCACCTATTGCGACATAGGCGACAGCATGATTATCAACAATGACCTAAAATAATGGCTGCCAGACCAGAGCGCCGGTCAGCTCTGTCCATGTTCCTGGAGAAGCTGAGATGGGGTCAGTTGCCTTTTCCAGCCTGCAGCTTTTATACAGTGCAAGAAGCAGTGGGGTCCTTCTATACGAAGTGCCCTCCTTGCTAATCTGCTGAACAGTGTGATGCTAAGACATTGCCTGCAGCCCAGGTACCTATTATTGTAATTAACCAAGTCCAGTCTCCGGCCTGCAGCTGGACAGAAGAGGAGATGGATTTGCAGCACTTGAACCAAGAGAAGGAATGAAATGGGAGACTGGAAGAAAGACATTAAGATTCTTCCCATGTCATTCTGCAGGGGCGGTAGCTGGTCTGTGTATTAGTGGGTACATGACCGTTTAGTAGTGGGTGTGAGGATTACACGAAGGATTTGCCTTGTGTTAAACACATCCCCATGCAGATTTATTCTGGGGGCCGAAAATCCGAGCAGCCCTCGGCCATGTCTCGCGCATTTCAAGAAGCCTTTAGCAAGCTCCATTTTGTAACTATTGTAACTTCTTTCCTCGTGAGGCTGTGTGAATGTATCAAGTACACGTGTATGTTTCTGACTATTGAACGCTCTGGAATCGCTGCAAAATGCCATGTTAAAATCAAGAGGGCTGAGAGAGCTACTCGGGTTAAAGCAAACATAGATAGTACCTGGGCAGGGAGAACTCTCCATAAATTAAGGAGTTATGGAATACTGTAATAATTTCTTAGACCTGGATCTCAGATCAGTTACAGGGGAGACATGGAGGCAGGGCACAGCATGCTAAAACCAGCCCATTGTTTCTGGCCTCACTGACAGTTAAAAAATATAACCAAACAACTGCCGGGTGTTGTAATTTTTGATCCGCTCATCTGAAACGCAGATCTCATCGGGGAAGACTGTTTTTTATTATTAAAATTATAACTAAAAGTTTCCAGGATCTAAGCGTTCTTAAAGAGAGAGTTTATGGGCAAATCTCGCGTTCCCAGGCAAGGGACCCACATCTCCTCCTCTTTGTGGTCTGTGATGTGGAAGGGGGATGGAGACTGGGCAGCCAGGGGACGCAGAGTGGGGCTATAACATCTTTTCTACTTAGCCTCCCTCAGGAATCCCAGGAGCACTGAAGGCAGAGACCCTGGTTATGGTACCAGGGTCTTAATGAAGCCAAGTTGCCATTTACCCGGGGACCCCTCATGGGGTTCAGATATGGTACAGGGGCTCAGTCTTCTAGGTGGATGACGTTGGCCTCCTGCAAGCCCCTGGAATCCTCTACATTTAGGGGAAGGCTCTGCTGTCTTATTCACCAATAACAGTCCCCTTGGTGATGACTATGGGGTGGATCTCAGCGAGATTTCCTTCCCCAAAGCCCAATCTTGTTTCCCCACCCCCCCCATGGGAAGTGTAAAAAATAAGCTCCCCCTTTTGACTGGTGAGCCATAGGATGGGACCGATCTTTAGATGGGGTGATGATCTCCTGCACACAAGCACATCACCGCTATAGCTGCCCTCCCAGATCAAAGAGAAGTTTTCACTCCACCCCATGTTGCTTTTTAAGGCATTAAACACACAATCGGGCAGAATCCCAAATCAAAAACACGCTCCGCCCACCTCCTACAAACTCCTCTGTTAGTTGTACTCAGCCTAGAGCCCGAAGAGTATATTTCCTTTGAGAAACTCAACCGAAGATTGTCCATCACCATTGAGAAAGTTCAAGCTCGTTCAAATTTGCCACGCAGGTGGGAGTGGGGACACAGCTCAGATCAGGTAATTCTAGTTTTGGCTTGCTTGGAACTAGCCCCGGAGATCCCAAAGGTCTCTGAATCTGAATCTCCTCTTTGTTGACAGATTTGAACTGACAAACCTATTTAAAATAACACAGAGGAACAATTTTCCTGGAGAGATATGTTGGTCTGTGGGCATGGAAACCGTGTGGAGAAGTGTGCCAGAGTCACAGAAGGAAGATTGCTAGGCTTTTGAATTACAGCTCATTTCGAACAATACATGCAGTGCATGAGAAATTCCCTTTCAACAAGTAGCCTTTGTTTCACAGTGTTTGCTTTATACTAATAAAATTGTATTTTAATAGCTCAGACAGCTCTATGGCTTTTCTGATGGGCAACAAACAGCAGCCACACTGGCGACGGTTTCTCCGATGGTTTTGTTTTTCACCTTTCATTGGGCAGAATATTATCATCGTCTCTGAGCGGGGACTTGGCCAAAGCTTGCTGGAGATCTTTTAAAACTCTGTAATTTGCCGCAATTACTATATTGGATGCTAGCAATATTAAAATGCTTCATCTTGTCGTTTCCACGGAAGAGGTTATATCCCTTGCTTTCCTTTTAAAATCTCTGCTGTGTGCACTATTGCATTCCTCACCTGTACGGTTTCCTTTCGGCGATGCTGAAGTATTCCCTGTACATACTTCGCTGGACTCTTGTCTTGGCCCCTTTGAACCACTTTGGTGGTAAATTGGGGGCCGTCAAGCTTCTTTCACCAGCTCCCTGAGGATTCCATCAGCGTTAGGGGAACAAGTAGGTGGTCTAGCCATTCTCCCCGACCCCTCTTCTGGCCCTGGGGAGAAAGGAGGCTTGGCTGGAGCAGCTGCAGATCCTGGAGATCCCCAGCTGGCAGAACAACCCCACGGGGCTGTTCTAAGTGGCACAGGGGATCAAGGTATCTCCCTGCCCTCTCCAGGGTTAAGGCGCCGCAAAGGTTGCAGAAAGTTGCATTTGTTCACCTGCCCAGGCGCCGATCCTACAATAACGGGTCTAGCCCGTTCAACTGTGCTAGACCCAGGGATGCTAACCACTCTCAATGGAAAGCACTTCAGTATCCTTCTGCGTGAGAGCTGCAAGCGAAATATAATGACCTATTAGTTTCCCCTTTGCATTGTTTCTACTATTCAGTTAAGCTTTTCCTGAGAGACTCGCCACCCACACCTGGCATCTGGACTAGTAGGAAGACAGGCACCTATCTCTGGATATGTGCCAAACGCAAGGACGTAGGTGTCTGGAAGCAGATGTGTCAGATTTGCTATGGAAAAATCCTCCCCTCTTCAACCGCTTTCTTTCTTTCTTTCTTTCTACTGGAGTTCCCTGGTTAGCTGCAGAGCTTGGGCAGAGGCAGTGCAACTTTCCCAAACACAGAAGTCAGACTGAGGGGGGAGGGAAGGGCAGCGAGGGTAATCAGGTACTCTCCTCCCAAGCTCCAACCACAACCCACACTCCACCTGCTTGTGAGCCTCAAATGAGAGGATGCCCACAGTTAGACGGGGCAGATTTTCATCACCTGATCTTCCCTCTTTCTCCCACGATATGATCAGCAATGACTTTTTAACAACGTTGGCGTTAAATTGTCATAATTAGGCTTTAGAGCTAACGCCTAGTGGAAATGAATTGGGTCAATCACTGTCTTCTCTGCCGAGTCTGCCAGCTGTGGGCTAACCAGTGCCAATTCTACAGCTGGTTTTGGGGATGTAGATTATACGTATCTGTTCGGAAATGGACGGAGATCACCAAATCACTTCATAGGGGCCACTAAACAGTGACCAGGAGGTAATTTTCGAGGTGAAGAATGATCTTGCAGTTAAGGAAAGCAGGCTTCGAATTCGGGAGACCTGACTTCTATCCACATTCCTGCCACATGATCTTAGGTAAAATAAAAAAAATCACCCTGTGCTTCAGTGTAAAACGAGGCTAATGATATTGCCTTATTTCATAAGTGAGCTGTGAGGTTTCATTCAAGTAATATTTATAAAGGGCTTTGAGATCTTCAGAGAGAGTGTTTTAGATGTTTTATTATTAATGATTTTTGGTCACTATTAGTTTTTTCCAGATTCAGAGCAGAAATGAAAGCTTCATATTCCAATTTTACAATTTGGGATATAATTTTGTGGTAATAAAGGGGTGGTTTTATGGCCTATGAAGAATGTTAAGGAAAAACAAAGAAACTCCAGGAAACTAAAGTCTTACAACCTCATATGAAATTAGATGGTTTACAGAAACCTGATTGCTGCCGAAAGTAATACAATCAAGAAGCAATAACTCCATTACATTGACTTAATTCCCTATAAAACTTAGTGGGTATGTGCCAAATTCGGGGGTGCAATCCAAACCAATGAGGAGTTTTGTCATTGCCTGCCTTGTAATCCCGAGTGCTTCAAAATGCTCTGCTGCTGTAGTGCTCTTGACTGGATGTTTCTAGCCAGCATAAAAACATGCACTGAGTGTCTGTGTGTTAAGCCCTGGTTCAGTTTTCTGTTCCCTACAGCCTGCCTACAACACAGAAGCCCCAATGTGGTTACACCTGACAAGATGACCCCAATGCCTCAGGGTATGTCTACACTACGGGATTAATCCGAATTTATATAATTCGAATTTGGGAAACAGATTGTATAAAGTTGAATGTATGCGGCCACACTAAGCACATTAATTTGGTGGTGTGCGTCCATGTACCGGGGCTAGCGTCGATTTCTGGAGCGTTGCACTGTGGGTAGCTATCCCATAGCTATCCCATAGTTCCCGCAGTCTCCCCCGCCCATTGGAATTCTGGGTTGAGATCCCAGTGCCTGATGGGACAAAAAACATTGTCGCAGGTGGTTCTGGGTACAGCCTCACCCCTCCCTCCCTCCCTGCATGAAAGCAACGGACGGCAAACAACCATTTCGCGCCTTTTTTCCTGGGTGAACACTGCAGACTCCATACCACGGCAAGCATGGAGCCCGCTCAGCTCAAGACAGCAGTCATGAACATTGTAAACACCTCGCGCGTTCTCGTGGAGTTTATGCTGAGCCAGGACCAGAAAAACGAGGCGAGGAGGCGGCGGCGGCGGCAGCGCAGTGACAAGCATGATGAGGACATGGACATGGACATGGACACGGACACAGAATTCTCTCAAACCACGGGCCCCGGTGCTTTGGAGATCATGTTGTTAATGGGGCAGGTTCTATCCATGGAACGCCGATTCTGGGCAAGGGAAACAAGCAAAGACTGGTGGGA